ACCCGGACGCCATCAGGGAGAGGGAGAGTTATATTAGTATTGAGTAATTGTGGAGGAGGAGGAGGAGGAGGAGCAGGAGGAGAAGGAGAAGAAGGAGGAGGAGGAGCAGGAGCAGGAGGAGGAAGAGGAGGAGGAGGAGGGGGAGGAAGAGGAGGAGGAGGAGGAGGAGGAGGAGGAGGAGGAGGAGGAGGAGGAGGAGGAGGATATCATTGTAGAAGTGGTCCTTTGCAAGTACAGTCGACAGACGAGGACGAGGAGGAGGAGGCAGATAAGGAGGTCGGTCGAGACGACCACAGGAGCCCCAATGCGGCCCACCAGGCCCCCAATACGGCACCAAAGCCTCCAAAGAGGTCCCCAAGACGGCCGAGAGAGAGACCCCAAAGACAGCCTCCGAAGACCCCCAAGAAGCCTCCAGGCGGCCCTTCTGGGCGCCCGTTCACGAACTCGGGCGTAATCGCGCGGCAGCGCAACTGGATAACCACGGAACTGGGCTCTAGAACGAGGCTCCCAAACGAGGCGATCGCACCAAAACGAGGCTCCACATTGGCTGAAGAGGTCCACTTGAAAGCAAAATCCAAGATGACACGCAGGTGAAAGCCTCACTTTGCACGCTCTTGCCGCGTGGACCTTCTCCAGCCGTGGCAAAGCAGACATGGAATCCCCACGATCCATGCTCGCCAAAAGATCTATACACACATCACATCCACACAACGTGGAACGCACGCGCGAGATACATCCAACACTTTTGAACACCTGCAGTCAAGCCACTACCATGAGGAGCACTAAATATGGAGCAGAGCTCTTCTGTGGCCCTGAAAACGCCAGGGCGCACGAGGAGAGCCGGAGGAACAGCCACGGAAGGACCCAAGGAGCAGCGAGCCCCGTCCGAACCCGAATTGCTCCTCACTGGGGCGCCTTGACTGCACTCGTCGCCGCGCCGCTTGTTCTGAACGCGCCCAAGTGGACGACGCCGACACCACGACAAGCCGACGGCAAGCCCTACGTCCGGCGCTCAAGCAGACGAATCGCGGCAAACCCCACGGCAAGCCCCGCGCTCCAGGCGGCGTATGCCCTGGTGGCCGCGGCGCCCTCCCCAAGACGTAAGGTGGCGCGTTGGATCAAACGGCGCGGCGACATACATGGGGGCAACGGGTCCAGGACCCCGGTGCCTTCCCCCAGGACGGATTGTTCATCCTGCATCGTTTTCTGACTGTCCTGGGACCCGTGGAGATCTTCAATGACCTCCCGAAATTGCAAACAACCTCAGGACCCGATTCTCTCAAGATCCGCTTCCCCCATGGCGATTGACTGCGTTGGCTTCCTCGCGTATCCCACGACGTCTGTGGACCTTGCCATGCTCTTTGATTTGCTCGCGCGCGGGTTCTGCGCCTGCCGCCTACATCCAACTGGCAGGCCGGACGGACGGCGACCGCCCTAGGGCCGAAGGGGATCGACTTGGGGGAGATGAGGAGGAAGGGGAGGAGGAGGAAGAAGAGAGGCAGCAACTCTTACTCAGGAGCCCACTTGATTTTGGGCAGGCAATTGCTCTCAACCAGTCGGGTGGGGAAATATCACCTTTTGTTGCGACGGCCAGGCGGACGGCCGGACGGACGGCGACCGCCCTACTGTAGGGCCGAGGGGGGTCGACGGGGCGGGAGGGATAGAGATCCAACGCATTGACAAAAAGTCAAGACGGACATTTTCGCTACGTTCGGCCTCTATAGAGGCCCTCGCGGGGCCCCGGGAACGTCAGAGAACGGCTCAGGGCAAGAAGCCGGCCCCAGGGAAGGGGTCGAGACTTGCATGGTGCTCCGTTTTGAACGCGTCCAGGCATCGGATCTCTGGGGGGACAGGCCCAGCGGGAGAGGCATCGACCTGGAATCGTCGACACCACGCCAACAGATCGGCGACGGGCCTCCCAACGGCGAAACTGCGCGTTCCTGGGCGGAGTGGGGCATCCAGGCACCGATTGGCGATGAATGGGGCGTCTGGGGGCCAAGAGAGGAGAAAAAACTACACGAGCAGGAACGTTCGGAGGTCCGCGCGGATATATTAAACCTGCGCTCGACCATCCTCCCTGGCGCGCGGAGCGCGCAATGGGGGCGCCGGAGGCGCCGCCAAGGGAGACCAGCGCCGATCGGAGAAACCCGCGCGGAGCGCCGAATGTTTATGTTTTTTGCAGTCGAGTAAATGCTTCCCCCCTGAGCCAATCCCGTCCAACTGACGCCCCGGACGAGGGGTCGGCGCCGAGGTGGCCTTTGGCCACTAGCGCGGCCACGGCGTCAGGTCGACAAGTTCCCAGCCCTCCACACCCGCGCCAGGCCGCCTGCCGGCGGATGCAAGAGGGGCGGACAGCCCAGAGGCGGGCATTCCACCCACTCGCCAGGGAGCCTCGTGGAGGCCGTGGGCGATCGGAGACCCCGGATACCTGCAGTGCCCCCCTCCCCCCCTCCCCCCCCCCTCTGGGCTACCCCAGCAGGACGCCGACTGTACACCTGCGCCGATCCTGGCCAGGTGCACCGTTGGCCCAGGATCGGTGTACGCACGCGCCCTCCTGGCCTGGGCAGGAAGGCAGACGTACTCCGATCCTGGGCCCAAGATCGACCTGGCCAGGATGGGTGTACGTGCACGGCTGGTGCCCTCCCATGTCCGCCCCTGCGGCCGCCCCCGAGCCTGCGCCGCCCGTGAGCAGCCGTGCACTGTCTGGGGACCAGGCCGCGCTCCAGACCTCCCCGGCGTGCCCCCGGAGCACCGCCCCCAGCCGCCACAGCATGGGCTCCTCTTGGCGAGAGCGGCCTGTGGCGCGCGGCCCGCAGATCGCTGCGCGCGGCGCGGCAGCAGCGGCCTGCGTGCTGTGGCCTGCCCCCCCCCCCCCCGCCCCTCACGAGCGGCGAACATATCCGTATCTGCGCCTTCACGGTCTGGATTCTGGGGCGCGATCCCGCGGATACGCCGACGCACGGATACGTTTCGCGCGAGACAGCTGCGAAAGAACGCCCTGTATCCGCGGGGTCGCAGACCAGGGGCCTGGCCCGTGAGGCCGCGGATGCGGATCTGTCTTTCGCCCACGACCCCCCCCTTCCCCCTCCGCGCCACCCGAAGGCTCGCGCACCAAAGGTCACTCCAGCAAAGGGCTGCTCCGCCAGAGGCCGCTCTCGGCTGCACATGGTGGCCGTGGGCGAGGGTGACCTTTGGTGCGCAGCTTATCGTCACGCGCGATGCAATAGCAACAACCTTCGGGCGCGGCCTAGCCGACCTCCTCCGTGACGAGCCCCTTCCCTCACGACCCCCTCCGGCGGCCTGCCCACGTCTTGAATCGAGGCGAGAGGGTCGTCACCGAAGGGGTCGATCTGCCAGGGGTCGGTCAGGCCACCCCTGAAGCCTGAGTGCTAGGCTGGGGTTTGCCCCTGCCCCCCCGCCCCCCCCCCCCGGAAAGCCGCACACCAGAGGTCACTGCAGCGAAGTGTCACTCTTACAGATCATATTGGGGCGCAGGCAACGGCACAAGCAACCGCGGAAGCGCGGACCCCCTACAGTTTATGTTTATGCCAGTGGTCCTTCCCCTGCAGTCAACGCGTGTAACAAGGATGCGCGATAAGGATACAAGAGCCTTGGAAGGCCAGGTCGGCACGATACGAGCCGTGCGCGGCCAGCGAAAGTGGCCAAGAATGGGCCGAAGGGGGAGGATATAAGGATAGCATTGGAAAGTAGCTCATCCTTACAACCCGTGTTGGCTGTCGATCACCTGATTCACTTCGCGCATCGCGCAACGTGATGCGCGACGCGCGGTGATCTTCGCGCCCTCACGAAGGAGAAGGACAGCTCTCCGGCCGGGGCCGCGACGCGCGAATTGCAATTCTCTTGGCGCTCCCGCGGGTGATCTGCACGGCCGACTCCGAAATTTGGCGGCGCGCACAGGGGGGTCAGGGGAGGGAGAAAGCTTTTTAGAAGGAGGCTGCTTCTAGGCTGCTTCTTAGAAACCGTTGGCCCTTTCGAGAAACCTTTGGTAGCACAGACCGGATAGCACAGTACTGAATTGCTGAAGTCGCTACTTGGTCAAGGAAGCCCCTCATCTCGTCCAACAGGATGTAAAACAGACATGACTCTTGCTACCAGCGCTCGTTCCCAGGCGGGGAGTCCTGGACAGTAGGGGGGGGGGGGGGGGGGGCAGGTGGGGGCAGGTGGGGGGAGCTGGTCGCTGGGACCCGAGGCCCCCGAGGCCCGGGAGGAGGAGGGCGGGCCTACCCCCTGGGACGGGCCGTAGGGGCCTCAGACTCCCAGGGACGGGCCCTACGGGCCAGAAAGGCATAGCAGCTGCTCACCCTCATCCGCGTCATCATCATCCTATTCCCCCGCCTCCGCATCTTCCTCATCCTAATTGTTCTCCTACTCACATTCGTCACACGCCTGACGTGTGCTGTGTTCTATGCACCGTCGGCCTCGCCCCCCACCACATCCTTCTCCTCCTGCTCACAGTCGCCCTCCTCCAGGCGTGCGTCATGTTCTCCTTCTCATACGCATCATCCTCCCCATCCGCATCATCCGCATCCTGCGCACCGTCGCAATTCTCCTGACGTGTACTATACTCGCCTCCTACTCCTCCATATCACCGTCGTCCCCATCCGGGCTTGTGATATGTTCGCGTCATTCGCCTCCGCATCCTCCGCGTCCCATCCCCCCCCCTCCGCCTCCTGCTCGCCATCGTCATCCTCCTGACTTGTGCTATGCTATCCGCGGGTCCCAGAGGGGGCCGGGACACATAGCACAAGTCAGGAACGCCCCGGTCACCCGTCCCTTGCGAGGGCCGCATCCTGCTCTCCTCCCGACTCACAGGGGGAGGGAAGCGGGCCGGACCACCTCGGGCCAAGGCATATCAGACCCCAGAATTACGAGGACGTCTCTGGCGAAACGGGCCGGGTCAGAATTCCGCGAGGGGTGCCCCGAAATGCGCCCTCCTTGCCAGCAGACATTGCACACTCGGGCCCCTGAGAGGTCAGGTGGGCCATCTCTGCGCCTGGAGGTGCGAGGATGAGACCACCTCAGGCCAGAGCATCTCTGGCCATAGAAGTGCGAGGACGTCTCGGGCGAAACGGGCCGGATCTCCTCGGGTCAGGGCATATCGGAGCCAGAATTGCGAGGATGTCTCAGGCGAAACGGGCTGGGGCACATAGCACAAGTCTGGACCACTCTCCCCCAGGCCCCCCTTTCGCGCGAGGGCCGACCCCCTCCTCCTCCTCCTCCTCCTCCTCCTCCTCCTCCTCCTCCTCCTCCTCCTCCTCCCCATCCTGCTCCTCCCGACTTACACAGAATGGAAAATTGGCCAGACCACCCTGGATCAGGGCATATCGGAGCCCAGAGTTGCGAGGATGTCTCTCAGGTGAAGCGGGCCAGGGCGCACAGCACAAGTCTGGAGCACTCTCCCCCAGGCCCCCCTGTTTTTTCCCCTCCTTTTTTCTCCCCTTTTCCGCCATCATCCTCCGCGCCGAGGCGCCCCGACCCCCTCCTCGTCCTCCTACTCCTCCTCCTTCCTTCTCGTCCTCCTCGTTTCCTCCTCCTCCCCCTCATCCTGCCTCCCTCCTCTCCTTCTCCTCCTTCTCCAGCCCGCCCCCCTCCTCCTCCTCCTCTTCCTACTACTGCCTCCATCATCATCTGTCCTCCCCGGACTCACCAGAGAGAGGGGAACTGGCCGACCCACATCGGGAGGGGCGCAGTTGTGCGGGGGGTCAGGGCAATCGAAGCACCAATTACAGGACACCTCAGAGCGCGAAAAGGGCCGCGGGCGCATAGGCACAAGTCTGGCGCGCTCTCTCCCAGGCCCCCTTTTCGCGCGGAGGGGCCGACACCTTCGCCTCCTCCTCCTTCCCCTCCTCCTCCTGCCTCCTCCTCCTCCTCCTCGTCCTCTCCTCCCTCCTCTCACTCCTCTCCTCCTCCTCCTCCTCCCCCTTCGCCTCCTCCTCCTCCTTTCTCCTCCCTTCTCCGCCTCCCTATCCTTCCCTCCTCATCCTCCTCCTCATCCCTCCTCACTCTCCTCCTCCTTCCTCCTCCTCCTCCTCCTCCTCCTCCTGCTCCTACTCCTCTCTCCTCCTCCTCCTCCTCCTCCTCCTCCTCCTCATCCTGCTCCTCCCGACTCACACAGAGAGGGAAACTGGCCAGAACACCTCGGGTCAGGTCATATCGGAGCCCAGAATTGCGAGGATTCCTCAGGCGAAACGGGCCGGGGCACATAGCACAAGTCTGGAGCGCTCTCCCCCAGGCCTCCTTTTCGCGCGAGGGCCGACCCGCTCCTCCTCCTCCTCCTCCTCCTCCTCCTCCTCATCCTCCTCTTCCTCCTCCTCCCCTCAGCCTCATCCTCCTCCTCCTACTCCTCCTACTCATTCCTCCTCCTCATCCTCCTCCTCCTCCCCTCCTTACATCACTCCTCCTCTCCCCTCTCTCCTCCTCCTACCTCTCCCTCTGTCCTCCTCCTCCTCCTCCTCCTCCTCCTCCTCCTCCTCCTCCTCCTCCTCCTGCTCCTCCTCCTCCTCCTCCTGCTCCTCCCCATCCTGCTCCTCCCGACTCCCGACTCACACAGAAAGGGAAATTGGCCAGACCACCCTGGGTCAGGGCATATCGGAGCCCAGAGTTGCGAGGATGTCTCTCAGGCGAAACGGGCCTGTGCAACACGAATTTCGCGTGGGGCGCCCCGAAATGGGCCCTCCTGGGCAGCAGAAATTACACACCTAGGCCCCCAGGAGGTCAGGGGTGCCATCTCTGCGCCTGGGGGTGCGAGGACGTCTCAGGCGAAACGGGCCAGACAACCTCAGGCTGGAGCGTATCTGAGCCTAGAGCGAGGACGTCTCGGGCGAAACGGGTCAGACCTCCTCGGGTCAGGGCACGTCCGAGCCCAGAGGAGGAGGAGGAGGAGGAGGAGGAGGAGGAGGAGGAGAAGAACATATCAGAAGCCAGGAGGTGGCGCATGGTGAACAGGAGGAGGAGGAGGAGGAGGAGGAGGAGAACACAGCAAAAGTCAGGAGGAGGAAGAATATGCTTAGGAACATGATGAGGATGAGGATGAGGATTACGATGATAATGAGGATGAGGGAGACTTAGACGAGGATGATGATGACGAAGATGAAGATGAATATGATGATGATGATGATGCTGATGATGATGATGACGATGATGATGATGATGATGCTGATGGTGATAATGATAATGAAACTGATGATGATGATAATGATGATGCTGCTGATGATGATGATGATGGTAATGATGTTGCTGAGGATGATGATGACGACACTGATGATGATTAAGATTAGGAGGATGATGACGATGACAATGACGATGACGATGACGATGATGATGATGATGATGATGCTGCTGATGATGATGATGACGGCACTGATGATGATTCAGATGAGGAGGAGGAGGAGGAGGACGACGACGATGCCGATGACGATGACGATGACGATGACGATGATGATGAGGAGGAGGAAGAGGAGGAGGAGGAGCGACCGTACCATGAAAGGGACGAGACGAGGGCAGGCGGGCAAGACGCGAGAAGAGGGCAAGTGTCCGCGCGTCCGCTTGTCTCGACTATGGCCGCATCGCGTGCAGTGCAGTAGCTAGGCATTCAATGCCTGTAGTGTGAAGAAGCGCGGCGCGGGGCGCGGCGTGCGTAATGATACGCAGTTTGTTGTAAAAGTGAAATGAAAGTGCTGTCCTGCGAACAGCTTCTGAAATTGTGTGCTCTGGGTTTGCGTGTTGCTCTGGCGTCCCTAGGCCAATTCGCACGATGGG